GCAGCTGGAATGCTCCTTGGAAGTGAGGATGGCCAGATTTGGTCTCACCTACTTTGGTCATGTTGTCAGAAGGGACCATTCTTTGGAGAAGGATATCCTGCTTGGTAAAGTGGAGGGTCAGCAAGAAAGGGAAAGACACTCAACAAGATGAATTGACACAGTGGCTGCAATAATGGGCTCAGGTATAGCAAGGATTGTGAGGATGGCGCAGAACCAGGCAAGGTTTCATTCTGTTCTGCTTAGTGTTGCTAGAAGTCAGAACCAACTTGATGACACCTAACAACAACAATAAAAACGAATCCCTGTGTAAGAGTGAAGGAGCCCTCATGGTATAGTGGTTAAAGTACTTGGCTGTGAACCAAAAGGTCATAGCATTTGGAAATCACCAGCCACTCCACAGGAGAAAGAGGAAGCGGCCAGCCTCTGTAAAGATTTAAAGCCTTGGAAATCCTATGTGGTAGTTCTACTCTGTCCTAGGTTGGTTGATAGGAGTCTGAACTGACTTGGTGGTGATGGGTTTGGATTGGGTGTTAGGTTGTAGGTTCTTTGAGTAAAGATATATTAATTGATCTGTGTTGCCTTGGCACATGGGGCACTGCCCAGACCCAGGGGAAGCTCTGTAAGTTTATGTTAAGGGTTGACAATCATATAAGCTGGAAAGTGACAGGGAGGGATTGTCCCTCAGTTCCACCATCTTGATGTCTGAAAGTCTGCCCAATATGCTCCCTTCCCCCAACCCCATTTAACTCCAGGGCCATCTTGGGCAAATAAGCCAAGTGTCATCTTATTTTCATTTATTAAAATTTTGTTACAATAGTCACTTTATAGGGTAAATTGGCTTTTTTTTTTTTTTCCGACCCAACAAAAAGGTAAATGAACATTAAAAAAGTAACTTTCCTCCTCAAATCTAAAGACATTTATTTTCCCTTTAAGAATGTCTGAAGAAGTCAGCACTCTAAAAATTCTATAGAAATGCAAAGATTGTCACTAATTTGTGTGACTTGAGTACATTACTGCAAGTTTAAATTAAATTATAAATAGTTATCTTTCACCTATTATAAAATTTATTTTTATACAGTTTCAGTGTTGGTATATTCCATTTCTTACTTGAAGAAAACAGTTGAAAATTCACTGAATCTGTTTTAAAACTTAATTACTTAGTTTTAAACTTAATTTCTAACATGTGGGCAAACAAAAGATTATGGTTAAAAAAAGAGAGAGAGAGAGAGAGAGAGAGAGAGACAGAAAGAGAGAGAGAAATCTTATCTTAAGACCAGAAGGTCGTAGAGATCATCTATTTTCTTGATACAGAAATCCAGAGAGGTTAAGCATCTCACCAAAGATCAAACAGCTGGGAATTACTCAGAGACCAGTTCTCCTACCTCCCACCATACCAAGTTTTAAATTCACCAATAACATTGTGAAAAATGGGTTTTTAATGTTCTTAGAGTGTGATGTCAAAGAAGTCAAGGTCAGTGGCTCGTTTTCCATGTGTATCAGTTACCTGGCCACTCTGCAGCCACAGGCTGAATGCCCATCCGCAGCTGGATGAAGTGTCCCACAAGAGTGGGTCACAGCATGTGTGCAGAGGAACCCCCCAAATGTACTATTGCTCCTGGGTAAATAACCACACCACCTCCCCCTGCTCAGAACAGTATGAAATACTTCACCTTTGGATTTGGATGACGGCCGATGACGAGGCGAACGGGTCCTGGCGGGCATTTGCTCAAGATGGAGTGAACTTTACTTAGAGCAGCATGGCGAACGTTAATGGAGTTCACTTCCAGGATCTGATCTCCACGGCTAGAGAGGCAACATAACCAACACTGCGGTAAGACTCAGCTTGTACAAGATTTCCATCTGGGAGAGGTTTAGGATATGAAATATTTTCTGAATATATTTAAGGAGTAAGCAGGGCTTTGAACTGTTTGGTCCCATCTGACCCCTGCTGAGGATTTGCGCTGAATCAGATACACTGAGTCAGAATCTACATTTTGACAAGAACCCCAGGTGATTCTTACGTATACCTAGGATCGTGTTCAAATGTAGATTCTGATTCAGTGTATCTGGGGTGCCAGGGCAAACCCTCAGCAGGGGGCCGAGTTGGACCAAACTGGTTTGAAGCCCTGGAAGCAAATGATATCCTTTTATCTCTGCAACTCATTCATAAAAACAAGTTAGATTTTAAATTGGCAAAGCCATTAGTTGTATCTATTGACGTTTTCAGAAACAGTAAAGTGAAATAAAATTGATAATAAGGGCAACAATGAAGACTACCACTTCTTGAGTACATACTACACACCAAGTACCCCGCTAGGCAATGTACGTATCATCCAAATACGATTCTTATTGTCATTACATACAATGATGACACAGGCTCAAAGAGGTCAACCAGGTGTCACATACTGTTGAACTAAGGTCTGTCTGACTCTTGAAATTCTCATCACTCTTGATGTGATAGCCCCTCGACCACCATCAAACTCTTTCTTTCTACCATCTTGAAATGATTATTGTAATATAATTTAAGGAGGAAATATCTGAAGCTCAAAGGTTACTCAAGAATTTGTAAAAATGTTTCAAATTTGAACAAATGAGAAATTTGGGACAAGCTGCCCATTTTAACTCAAAATTATAGGGAGAGAATTCAGTATGGGAGAACAAAGACTCTTTATATGGGGTTTGAAGAATGTTCATTTGGCAGGCTGCAGACATATGGAACCATTCAAGAGAGAAACATCATTTTGGGATGTCATTAAAGGATTTTTTTCCTTGGGTTCTAAAAGTATATTTTCTTTAATGTACTTTGCATGATTTGCTAATTTTTTTCCCTATGGAAACACACTCTGATGATTAACTAAAAATATAATCTATTAACAGAGCTCAAAAATGGCAACCTCAAGGAATGGCATTTTGACAATTCCTCACTTGCTCCAAGACTAAGATGCACATAAAGGAGAAATGTGATACTGTTTGCACAGGGTGCTTTGTGATATGTGTACATTTTTGTTAAGTTTAGGCAGGCACGGGCCCACTGCAGTTCCTCTTTATTAGAACACCTACACACCCCTTATATAAACACAATATCCATACATCTCTCGAATGCTACAAGCCAACAATCTGGAGTGAGGAATTAGACACCCAGTGATATCAGACCACTGGCCATCATCACATAAAAAGAAATGAAAACAGAAAAGGTTCAAGAGAGAATACTTAATAAGGAAGGCTTCCCATTCAAGGGCATCATTTTAGGACTCTTGGGTCCAATGATTCTGAATCCTTGTGAGGACTTCCCAGTAGCTCAGATGAATATTATATAAATGACTATAAAAGTGAAAGAAAGTATTGAGAAAATTTTAGATATCTATGTAGAGTTTGTATTTTGTCAAGTCTCTGAAACTTAGCTTCAGAGCACAAACAGAACAAGATAAGTAGGTGTGGGGTGTGATATGAAGTCAAGATCTAGTAGCTACATTATTGTGGGTAATACAAACAAAACCAAATCCACTGCCATAGAGTCAATTCCGACTCATAGTGACCCCCTTATTGGGTTTCCAAGGCAGTAAATCTTTACAGAAGTAGATTGTTCCATCTTCCTTCTACAGAGCGGCTGGCAGGTTTGAATCTCCAGGTTGGCAGTCAAATGCCTTAGGCACTCCACCACCAGAGCTCCTCATTGTAGGTAATACAAAGATTTGAAATCACACAGGAATGTAGGAGGTCAGATATCTTACATCTATGTGTATTTCCATATTCACATACACACTAGTGCCTTATATTAGGCAATTGAAAACATACCTCAGGTTGCTTTCCATTTTGGCAACTGATCCTGGGGCAAGGCTGTGAATGTAGATGCCGGGAGGGCTGTTTTCTAGAGCTAGGCAGCAGGCCCCAATGCCTAATCCGACTCTTGGTTCTGTGGGAGGCATCATTTAAAGAAAACAAAAACGAAATTTATACCATAACTGGAAAAGAAGAACTGATGTGAAGCCACATTAAATATAGTCAGACCAGTAACCATTTGATTTTCACCTGTTATCATCCCAGAGTACAGTACTATCCTGCTTTTCTTTGTCAATATTGCCATGTTCTAGTAATGAAGGGAGACCACTGCTGGGCCAGGGGGTGACTATGGACTAAATTATCCAATAGTCTGTTTTCTGTTTGGTCTAACGATCTTCCCCAAATCTGTTTTGAACATGGGCAGAGTATATATAAATGGATTACTATTCTGGTTACACAACTTCAGGCTTTCTTTGACTTCTTAGCAACCAATCTCTTGGTTATGTAATGGCTCATTACATTTCTACAGTAGATGGGGAAGAAAGGGAAATAAAAGTGAAAACCAGTAAGACTTGGTGATCACTTATGACTTTTACTGCCACTCTGGTGGCACAGTGGTTAACTCATTTGGCTGCTAACCAAAAGGTTGGCTGTTCGAATCCACCAGCACTCCATGGAAGGAAAATGAAGTAGTCTGCTTCTGTAAGATTTACAGCCTTGCAAGCTCTATGGGACAGTTCTTTTGTCCTATGGAGTCACTATGAGTTGTAACCAACTAGATGGCAGTGGGTTTGGTTTTTGGTTTTATGACTTTCAGTTACTGGTGTTAACTATATTCTCTGTTTACATTTGTATCTAAAAGATAACTAAATCTTTTGTTCATTAAAAGCAATCTTTAAAAATTCACATTTGCCCTAAAATTAACTATTCAATGATTTTTTTTTTTTTTTTAAACACATACAATGTCTCTAACATACAGCGATTCACCTCAGGAGAGTTTAAAGAATTTTGTGCTACTGGTAATTTCTTTTCACTTTTGTACAATGACTGAAATCTTTACTTTTGATCTCACTATCCATTTAGGGAACATCATGTGTTTTTGATAACAGATCAAAAGGAACAATTCACAGAAAAAGTATAAAAAAATTAACCAAAGAACAGTTTACAAGTTGTTATCCAAGAGAATTCAGTGGAAACCAGGACTAGCCACTGTCACCTTTGTTGAGGGTTACTTCCATGACAATCCTGTCCTTGGGCCCAGGGGTCTTTCGGCCCAGGGATGAAGAACTGCTTTCATCAGAGCCAGCTGCCGAGGTTCCCCCACTGGCGTTGAAGTTTGGGGAGCTGGATCTGCTCATGTGTGTGGGTGTTGAGCAAGGTGTGAGGCTTGGGCTCAGTAACTTTGTACGTACCGTTAAGACAAATAACCCACTCCGGATTTGCTGAGAAAACAAGAAGAAAGTAGGGCTAAAACATTCAGATTGTCCAAGAGTGAAAAAAATCTCACCAAACAACAGCCAGAAGAAAATAAAGGAAGAAGAAGAAAGGGGATAAAGAAGATCAATAAGAAAGCTGTTACCTTAAAGGTATGAATGGCTTCTTGGAATGTCAAGCCCTTTATTGGTATTCCATTTACATCTAGAATTTCATCCCCTAGCGACCAAAGACAAGAATTACGTTAGCATCAAGTTTTAATTCATTTACTGGAATCTGACTGCTCAGTCAGCACCATAATGGGATACCATATGGTTCCTGATTTACAACTCCACAAAATAAATTTTATTGTGCCAATCTGCTTTCATTAGCTGTGCTCTCAGGAATGTCACAAAATGGGACACTTAATTACAATGCATATTCTTGAGCAGCAGTTCTGCTTTTCAATCTTTAATGAAAACAACTATGGAAAGCATCAAGATCTTGCTCTTCAGCCATTGCCAAAGTAGACACTCCACTTTGGGAGAGAAAAAATACAAAAAACTGAGTGCCAAGGTTTTCTTCATAGTCACTGTTGAAAAACTTAAACCAGACAATGAAGCATGACCACACACAACATTTGAGAAGCCACTCCTCCATTTGCAGAAACACAAGCTGCCTGAGCCTGGAGAAGCACTGTGGTAGATGGAAAATGGTTTCAAAGACTGGGACAGAAAACCTGCTGAGAGATTACTAAGGAATGGCAACCCCTCTCCAGAAGTAGTCTAGATGTCTAGTCTTATTGATGCTGTCAGACATTAAGTTGGCAAATTACTATATGCTTCTGTCTAAGATATTATTACAGGGTAATGTCTCAAAGAAGGAGCCCTGGTAGTGTAGTGGTTAAGGACTTAGCTGCAAATTTAAGGGTCAGTGGTTTGAACCCATCAGCTGCTTCATGAGAGAAAAGACCTGTAAGGATTACAGCTGAGGAAACCCTAAAGGGCAGTTCCGCTCTGCCTACAGGGTCGCTATGAGTCTAAATTGATTTGATGGCACACAACACCATCTCAAGTGGGTAGTTCCTGGTTGGGGTGATGTAAATGGAGTTAGTGGTGCAGTGGTTAAGCGCTCAGCTGTGAAAGCAAAGGTTAGCGGTTTGAACCCACCAGGTGCTTCGTAGGAGAAGGATGTGGCAATCTGCTTCCGAGATGGACAGTCCTGGAACCCTATGTGGCTGTTCTACTCTGTCCTATAGAGTTGCTGAGTCAGAATCGACTTGGCATCAGATTTGGTTTTGGTTTGGGGTGGTGTAAATTGTTAACATGCTGGGCTGCCAGCTGAAAGGTTGGCAATTAGAGTTCACCCAGAGGTACCTCTCAAGAAGGGCCTGGCAGTCTACTTCTGAAAAATCACCCACTGAAAACACTATGGAGGACAGTTCTCTGACACACATGGGCCACCATGAGTCAAAATTGACTTGATGACAACTAAGTAGTCAGTTGGAATGTCTCAAATTGCTCTCTCCTTCTTTCACTCTCTTTCTGTCTGGGTCTCTCTCTCAAACTATCCCTCATTCACCTTCACCTCTAAGAAGGTACAGTCAGGTCATTTTTCAAGCAGTTAGTAGAGTCTTCTGGGAATACAAAAGATTGAGCACCTGCTGACTTAGCAGAGTTCATTTTTCAAAAATTGTGATTTGGGTGAGAGTTTACAGAGCAAATTCATTTTCCATACAACACTTCATACACATTTTGTTTCATGACATTGATTGCAATCCCCATAGTCTAACAGCTCTCTTCCCACTTCCTCCTTGTGGTTACCCTTTCCCTGTGTCCTTCTTTCCTACACATTCCTGTCCTCTGGGCCACCTTCCTATGCAAATACTGCCCCTTCGATTTCCCATGCTTGACTGTCCCAAGGAGTGCACCTACCTGCTGTAAATGTTCACCTTATCTGCCTGTCAGAGCTAATTTTTGATTTGTACTCTTGTGACATGGTCTGTTTTTCAGAAAACAGTTCATCAAAAGCACTAGGGAGATGCCCCAAAGAGAAGAATGAGTGCAATCTGCCCAGGAGTGCAGAACAGAAGAGAGAATTCCTCCATCTACGACAAAGTGCAAAGCAACATGGACACACACTTCCTCTCTCAGAGGCCAATCCCAGGAGCATGTGGGATTAACCCATCTACACATTGTGTAGATGGGCTGCAAATATACCCAGCTCCCCATGCACGTCTTTTATGTTTTCTCACTCATCTAACTATGGCAGTAGGAAAATAAGTGAAAAAATTTCTGCTTACAAATCACCTGGCATCATCAACTGCTCAACTAGCTGAGGAAGTTTATGTTTTTCATTTGTCTGTTTCCACATGGGGAAGGAGTGAAACATTAAGAGCTCATGCTCTTAAAGTTTACATAAGATTTGGACATATCATTCAACAGGTTGAAAATCCATTCCAATGACTTACATTTCTTGGAAATGGACATCTGAAAAAATAGTATTTAGAAGAATCAAGTGTGATTAACCTTTCCTAAGTACTGATTTCTCCCCCCTCCGTTTTGCTGTATTCCACCAGTGGTGCAGAATGAATTTCAATCAAGTGAACACATGACACATCCATTACAAAAATGCTCTGCTCAGATTTTACATTGTTCTGTAGCTAGACACAAACGTCACCTGGGAGTTCACCCTTCCTCTAGGAGTGAGGAGGAAATACTCTGCTGGGGAAGCAGTCAGGCTGCTCACGTCTTATTGTTTGTGTGTGGGTTTCTACCGTCCCCTCTGCCTGATACAGGGGACTGGAGTCTACTCTTTTCAGTTTGAAGAAATAAGTCAGTTTAACACAACAGCATCTGTAGTTTAGGGACCGGACAACATTCTGTTGTGATCCACAGGGCTTTCGTTGGCTGATTTTCTGAAGTGGGTCACTAGGCCTTCCTTCCTAGTCCATCTTAGTCCAGAAGCTTCCCTGAAACCTGTTCAGTGTCACAACACCACACAAGGCTCCACTGATGGACGGCTGTTGGTGGTGCTTGAGGTGCAACTCGGCTGAGCCTCAAACCCAGGTCTCCCATATGGGAGGGGGGAGTTTTAGCACGGAACCACCAGTGCCTCATAGTAAATGTGCAAAAACATACAGTAAGTCCATTTATGAAAATCCCTTTAATGATAATGTAGTGTGACGTATCATCACTTAAAGTCTGTCTGGTTTGGGATCTGCTTGTTACCTATGACTACCAAAGATTCTCTCTTTATTAAAAGCAGCTGTTGTATCTATACATAAAGCAGATGTGGCCTATTCAAGTTTTATTTTACCAAGTATCTGATAAAGTCAAGAAGAAAGAAAGAAAGACATCTCATGTGTGCTCTTCTTATAGGTATGTGAGCTCACGGTAGGAAGGCGGGAAGGGGAACAGAACTTGCAATCAGAAAACTTGGGTTTAAATCTCACTTCTGCAATTTACTAAGGAGTGTGAGGGTGGTGCAGGGCTGGGCAGTGCTTAATTCTGTTGCACACAGGGTCGCTGTGAGTGGAAACCGACTCAATGGACCCAACTACAACAACAGCTTTGAGTAAGAGTGGGCAAGTTACTAAGGATGGACACTTTCAAGGGTCAATTTTCTCACTGGTAAAGTACTCACCTCAAAATGTCTACATGACAGCTTGTAATGAGATTAATGAGATACCTAATTTCAGTATATGGAAATGTTTTGTAAATGTTAAAAGGGCTCTAAAATATAGGGCCTATTTAAACGTTAAAAATATTTAATGTACCAGTTATAACTGAGTACTTCAGTATTGCTTTAATTTGCATTTTAAAGCATTTGTCTAGTGTGTCTATGGGTGGCAAAATGGTAGGTGTTAAGGAGAATGTGAAAGTTGTTCCTTTAGGAACAAAACTACATGTTGATTTCAACAGCAAGGTATTAGATGTCTATTAATGGTCAGGGACTCTGCTTCCATCCCAGTCCTGAGGCAAGAATGGATCTCAAATGCTCAGGAATTTTCAATGCAAGAAACATGATCAAGAACCAAGAGGGCAATCAAGTCAATTAAAGAAACTAATAAAAATACTAAGACATTTCCATATATTATTTCATTAAATTCTCAAAACAACTCATCCAGCTAGGTATAAAGATTCCAAGTTTATAACAGGAAACCGAAGCTCAGATTATATCAATTGTTTAAGGTCAGGATCTGGTTAAGTGTTGGACTCAGTCCAGGTCTACTGGACTCCCAAAGCCCATGGCCTTGGCTGCTGCACCACACATGGACATCTTGGATGGGGGCAGATTCTCATGGAATCAAAGCTCACAGTCACTGAGGTCCACTGGCAGGCATTCTCCTACCTTCTTTAAGTCTTCCATCCTCTGCAGCTGATCCATTTGGGAAAATGGTCTTGACAAAAATTCCCATCTGTCCTCGAATGCAGTCTCGACCTCCAGCAATGCTAAAGCCCAGGCCCTACACCCCAAACAGATGTGAGGATGCATGTTGACACTGCAGTATTACTTGAGGGTGTCATTCCTAATGAGGCTCAGAGTAACCTCATCAACTTGCTACAAACTCAAGCTTGCATATCCTCCATTTCCCTCCTCAGATCTATTTGCATCACACTAGCCATGCATTACATTAAAGGGCAAATGTGTTAGGTTTGACCGTATGAAATTGCCAATATCCAACAATCTTTGACATCCCAAAATGGCAAGTTCATATGGATCCACCAAATAACTCATGAGTGTCATTTCACACTATTCAGGTGCTATTATTGGTTTCATTCTTTTATTTCCATCTTTTAATCTTGCATAATACAAAAATGGACTTTTTTTGATAGTTACTTGTAGTACTCCGTGTATGATAATAGCAGTATCACGGAATTCATTTAAAAGGATAACTCAGAGTTTTCCCTGAAGCTACAGGTTCCGTTTTCTTGCAGTTGAAGTAAAAGCTAGTAGCATTCATCCTCTCAGTTGTGCTATGGGGTCACAGGCGTCCATGCTGGGGACTTCTCACATCAGAAGAACAAAGAGCATGTGCCCAACGTGCAATCCGAAGTCCCAGGAAAGAAGGCCAGTGAGTGCCCTCAAGTGCATGCAAACATGAGTTATTCTAGTTCTCTCTATTCCTCTTATAGTGTAAAAACAACAGGAAAAAGTAACTATCCAATTTTTAAAAAAGTTATGCCTGGAGGGCACAAAGACCTCACCTTGCCTTTTTCTTTGTACAGGCCAATGATGGAGATAACTGATGGCCGGATGAGTCTCCAAGGGGATTCCACCTGAGTAGTGCTTAGAGAGCGGGTCGACTTCTTCACTATGTGGTATTCCTAAAAGGCAGTGCACGGCAAGTCAGAGATGGCCTCATTGATCCTGCTGTGACTCCTGGCATAAAAGTGTACTCAGACTTTGAAACGCTTTCGTGTCATATAGTCATTTCTCTCTGGTCTACCTTTTCCAATGGCTTAAAGGTTTATAATGAGTTACACTGGAGGAAGAGCCCTACTGTAAGAGATTGTCATGCCTTCTTCTTCCACAGAAATAAGTGCCTGGAGGCCACAGGCACCTTGGGTTTCTCTTTCCTCCACTGCACTCCAGAGCCAGCTCTCTGCCTTCGGGAATGGAAGATGACCACGTGTGGCTGGGTTCTTGTTTAGAAGCCACTCTATCCCCTGTCGCATGGTCAAATTCCCAGGTAGAAAGTGTCACCATTTCAAGCTTCCATCACTCACTGACAAACTCAGCAAGCCCTTGTTTCCTATAAAGTCCAAACCACAAGCCCAGACAACTGTTATTCCACATAAAACATCCTGCTGAGAAACGGCAGCAACTTCAGCTCTAATCCTTCATATTTGGAAAATAAAATATTTTCCCAGAAACCACAATCTCCCTTCCTGGCACAGGGCAGATCAAATCCCCATCGCTTTTTCCTTTCTCTCGCCTACAATATACATGTGTATAAGCAGGGAGCATTATTTAAAACATAAACAAGAGATTCTGTGAGTCTGTTGCTAAAGCAGTCCTTATTATTATTCTTAGAATAACAATTTTTTAAATTGAAGCAGATATTCTAGGATAAGCAAAACAAAAAATCAGTTCAGATTTAATATGAACCAAGCGATATCACAAAATATTTTTAATTCTTAATGTCTGTTTTCTACATTCAAAGGTACAAAGGAGATGTCTGCCAGTGGTATTTTTATATTCCTGGCAGCTTAGACCAATTATATTTTGCAGTTTTTTATAAAATATCTGCCAGCACTGTTGGTCTCCCAGATTCTGATTTGTTAAAAAAAAAATGATGTGGGCTTGGCAAGGTGATTACCCTTTTACTGAAACCATGATAGAGATGGTGAGACATAGCCTGGGTTTCCAATCCCAGAATTTAGAGGGTCATACTTGGCCTCACAAGAGAATTCTTTCTCTGATCATCAATCTCCACCAGCACCTCACTCCATCTCCCTCTTGGGAACCAGTGAGAATCAAAGGTCAGCATGTTTCACTCATCTCTTGAGGAGTTTCAGGCATTATCTTGACCTTTCTAGACCTGTGCTGTTTTAATATGGTAGCCACTAGCCCCCTGTGGCTATTGAAACTTAAAATGAAAATAAGAAACACAGTCCTCAGTCTCACCAGCCACTTTTCAAAAGCTCAGTACACACATGTGGCTAGTGGTTACCATTGGACAATACGGTTACAGAGCATTTCCATTACCACAGAGCATTCTACTGGATATTACAGACAATGGAGTCTGTGGGTGGTGCAACTAGTTAATGCACTGGGCTATTAACTAAAAGACTGGAGGACTAAGTCTACCCAGGTTTGCCTTGGAAGAGGCTTGGTAATCTATTTCCAAGAAAGCAGACACTGAAAACCCCATGGATCACAGTTCTACTCTCACACATACGGGGTCACCATGACTTGGTGTAGAGTTGATGGCAACTGGTAATTCTCCGTAATATTTTTAGTGGAGGGAGAGAGAACAATTAAAAAAAAAAAAGGAAAGGAGAAAAAGAAGAGGACAGAAAATAAGAAGAGAAGGCTAGAGTAAAAAGGACAATCTGAAGAGGAAACTACTCTATTTTTTCAAAAATTTTCTTCACTAGTCTATGCTTCCTGGTTTCTGGAAGCCTGGTTAGAGATGGATGATTCTGGGCTACAACTATGGTCAAGTTTCCTGAGTGGCTCAGTTCAGAAATTGCCATCAGAACACAAGACATCCACGAGGTGATGGCAGTATATCCCTCTCTCATCTTCCACAGGAACAGATTCTGATGGACAGTGTGGCTCTCGTATAATTCTCTGATCTTCACCTGACTCTGTTGATCTAACTGGGTCATTCTGAGGAGGCCACAGGCCTGTCTCGAGTCACAGGGCTGAGCTAGCTTGAACCACATCCTGAACAAGATTTTTTCTGTGCTTTCTCTCAATGCTCACTCCCCTACAGTTTCCTTTGGGTGAATACAATACAGCTTGATCAACAACTTCTGCCCCTGAATCATGAACACACTAGTCAGGTAAAAAGTGTTAGAAGCAATAGAAACACTTCTTCATGACATGTAGCCAACCATATTTATGCACTTTCTTCACAGTAATTCTGGCTTATCATCTTGAACAAAATACAGGCATACCTTGGAGATACTGCGATTTGGTTCCAGATCACTGCAATAAAGTGAGTATCGCAATAAAATGAGTCACACAGAATTTTTGGATTCCCAGAGCATGTAAAAGTTACGTTTACACTATAGTGTAGTCTATTAAGTATGAAAAGCATTATGAAAAAGTTTGAAATATTGTGAGAATTACCAAAATGTGTCACAGAGACACAAAGTGAGCACATGCCATTGGAAAAATGGTGCCGATTGACTTGTTTGACACAGGGTTGCCACACAACTTCAATTTGTAAAAAACGTATTATCTGTGAAGTGCAATAAAATGAGGTATGCTTGTATTTAACCCTTCTGAGATTCAGTTGTCCTATCTGTAAAACAGTTATAACATGCCAAAAGTAAGGTCATGACCCAGATGGCCTGATTCTGGTCCTTCACAACTCTATAATCTACAAAGTCTCCAAGCACTTGGGGTTTTATTGCTGTCACACCCTCCTTCTGCATCTCTGCTTCATTGTAGGCTGTCGGAAAGACACCAATGGTTCCTCTTCAGCCCTCTGGCCTAATGGTACAGGACTAAAAGAACATACCACAAATTCCCCAGACACTGAGCCTGGTGTGTCCAACTTGGTTATGAGACTGTTCACCCAGTTTCTACTGGTTTGAGGATAATGTAATTAAGGAGCAGCCCCAGTGCAGAGTTATGGAGCCCAGAGCTCTAAGAGACAGGTCTTGGAATATCATCATAACTAGTGACTTCACCTCTCTGTAGTCCTGGTGGGCCTGGGCTGTCTGAATCTTCACGGTGTAACAGGTAGGAACCCAGGTGCAGCACAGGCACAGGCACACACACACACACACACACACACACTCCTTCCTGATCTCACACACATTTCCATATCCACCCACACAGTTGTTACACTGACACATGACGCTCCCCTTAAACAAACGATGGTGGTTCAACCACAGACTGTGAGACGCCATTGTCTCCTGGCAATTGAGTGCAATGTTCAGTTCCAAAACACACAGAGGAAGGGGGTCAAGATACTGGGATCCAATAAAGGTTTTCTTTTCCCTACTATTTTCAAATATTGGGCTGACTTCCTCCGAGCCTCTCTGGGTAGACTTCTCCTTCTATCCTTTCTCTCTCAGAGCATCCTAACCCCAAATACACCTGGCCCACATCAATAGGCTGGTTTTCAGAACTAGAAAAGCTCTTGCTGGTCTTTGAAGGGCGGGGGGAATTGAGAGACCAAAGAGGTGGAAATATATTCTTCTACTATGTCACCAGAGCTCCCTTTTTTTTTGGCTTATCCCTACCATGCAACTGTGTCTGTGTAAAAGGCTCCAAGGGATGTGACCAACCTGTGCGGCTCCAGAAGAGTCTAGCAGCTGGGGAAGAGAATGCTTTCTGCCATCTCGGGAGACCTCCAACATCCGAACCCTAGGGTCCCCGTTTCTCACCATCAGCTCATTATATTCTTCAACAGATTCTAGACGGTGTACACCCCCTTAAAAACAGAAGGAAAAAAATACATGGTTTATAAGGCACAAAAAGAATCCATAAGTGCATATGAAAGGCATAAAGTTGTTATATTTACACCCACATTCAAGGTTTTCAGAAGGGCTGGCATCCAACACACTCAAGGCTCTGAGCTTACCAAGTTCAACCACAGGTTGTCTGTGGGTTCAGGATAATTAATGCCAGGCTATGAAGAAACTAAGGAGCTCTGGAAGTGTTGTTTAAAGAATATGGCTGCTAACCGAAAGGTTGATGGTTCAAACTTATGAGGTGTTCTGTGGGAGAAAGCTAAGGCAGTCTGCTTCCATAAAGATTTATATAGAAACCCTATGGAGCAGTTCTCTGTCCTATAGGGTTGCTGTGAGTCAGAATTGACTCGATGGCAATGGGTTTGGTATTTATGGTTGTATGAAGAAACCGACATTTATTGAATTGACCAGACTGGATAAAAGGGCAACATGTATGTATGATTTAAATAAGATGCAGCTGTGGTTGATAATGAGTAAACAATAGTGAGAATGCTAGAAATAATAGATGGTTTTCTAGTGATGGAGAAATATGACTCTTTGGTTGGTATAGTTCCATTGTTATGGAAGATGCTTTTTATAGGAATGACTTATATATAGAAATGACTTTAGATACACTTTTTACTAAAGTACAACTTATAGACGTGTGTACAAATCCTAAGTATGCATGCAGTTCAATAAAATTTCACAAAATGGATGTACTAATAACTAACACCCAGATCATAAAATAGACAATTACCAGAGCCAAGCCACTTTTGTGCCACTAATCATCCCTTATCCAAGGGATAGGGTAACTATTATCCTGACTTCTAATATCATACATTAATTTTGGCTGTCTTCAAACTTTATATAAATTAACTCATACAGTATGTCCTTTTTTGTGTCTGGCTTCTTGTACTTCACATTTATGTTTGTGAGATTCAACCACATTGTTGTATGCAGCAATAGTTTATTCTTTCCCATTTGTGTATAATATTTCATTGTATAAATATACGATTTATTTTTCCAATGTATTATTAATGAACATTTGACTTGTTTCCATTTTAGATACAGAACAAGAGTCAGCAAACATTTTTTGTAAAGATCAGATGGCGAATATTTTGGGCTTGTGGGTCAGAAATGGTCTGTTGAATATTCTTCTTTTTTTGAACAATCTGTTGAAAACATAGAAAATATTCTTAGCTTGTGGGCCATACAGAAACAGCTGTGTGTTACTGCTTGCTGACCCTTGACCTAGAATATACTGCTATGAATCATTTGTGTACTTTTCTCTTGTACGTGTCATCTTTGTATAGACATGTATGCACATACACATCCATGTATACATGTACACATAGCCGAGAGTGGAATTGCTGGCTCATAGGTATATGTATTCAGTTTTATCTGTGCTGTGCCAGCAGCATGAATGAGTTCCATTCTCTCCACATTCTCATCACACTTGGCGGTGTCAGCCTTTTTAAATTTTAGTCATTCTGGTAGGTATATAATGTAATTTTATTGTGGTTTTAATTTGCATTTCCCTGATGACTAGTGAGATTAAGCTTTGTTTCACATATTTATTGGTGGTTTGGTTATCCTTTTCATAATGTGCCTGTTCAAGGCTTTTGCCCATTCTTTTACTAGGTCTCTGGCTTTTTCTTGTAGATTTATCGGAACTCCCACGTTTTGTTTTTAATATAGCTTGGATATGTTTGTAGAGCCATGTATTGTAAGTATGTTCTCCCACTCTGGGGTTTACCTATTTCACTTCCCTAATGACATATTTTGATGAACAAAAGTTCATAATTTAAAAAAAAAATTTTTTATTGTGATTTGGGTGAAAGTTTACAGAGCAAAGTCACTTTCCACATAGCAGCTCACATACACTTTGTCACATGAGGTTGACTGCAATTTCCCAGAAAGCAACAGCTCCCCTCCCATTTCCTCCCCATAGTAACTTCTTCCCTGTGTCCTTCCCTCCCATGCACTCCTGCCCCTAGCTGTCTCCCTGTGCATACGTATCTACCTAATGTAAATGTTCAGCTCATATGCCTGTCTTTTGTTTGGCTGGAAGACACAGCAGTGTGTTCAATTCCAGACCTGAAGGGCAGCTGGGGCCATAGTCTCAGGGGTTCCACCAGGCTCTAGCAGACCAGCAAACCTGGTCCCTTTTTTAAAAGTTCATAATTTTAATGAAGTACAATATATCATTTTTTGCTTTATGGTTAGTGGTTTTGTGTTCTATCTAAAAATCTTTGTAGGAATAATTTTTAAAGACACCTTTATCAATAATGAATTTATAGTACATATTATTTTAAATAAGATAATAAGGAATTTTAATCTTAAATGACAGATTTAATCTTAAATGATAGATCAATTACATATGGTTTTGGTTACTTTGTGCTGCTCTAACAGAAAATACCACAAATGGGATGGCTTTAACAAATAAGGATTTATTCTCTTACAGTTCGGGAGGCTAGAAGTCCGAGTTCAAAGTGCCAGCTCTAGAGGCTGGGTGAAAGCCCCTCGACCTTGAACTTCAGCTCTGCCTCTTGCTCCTCCTGACCTACTGAAGCTGGAGGTGTCTCTTCACTCAGGCTAAGGCTAACAAGCCCATGGCCAACAAATAAAATGCACAATCCCAGTATTACCAAACAACATGGCAGGCTACTTGCTTAAGTCCAGAGACAGTCCTAAGATTGGCAGGAAACACGGCAGGCTGCTAAATGAAGACTGAGCTACATGCAGGGTCCAAGTGTGCCAAAAAGGTACAGACCATTCCCAAAGCTTCCCTTTATATATTGGGAGCAGACCTCATCCCTAAAGCAGCTACTCAGCTGCTCATGGCAGATTCCATCACAGAGTTGATTCCATTCTCATCATGGGGAAAAACTACACCCACCTGGCCAGCCATTCGAAACCAGGCCCAGCCAAGCTGATATATAACCATAACTATAACACATATGAATCTATCTATAAATCACATTATAAAGTTTAAATTCTATAGAATATATACTTATGTTATATATTTCAGTTAACAGATGCCCCATTGGAGGCAATCACTCAGTTATGCCAAGAGATTTGGAGGACAGCTACCTGGCCAACTGACTGGAAGAGATCCATATTTGTGCCCATTCCAAAGAAAGGTGATCCCACAGAATGTAGAAATTATAGAACAATATCATTAATATCACATGCAAGTAAGATCTTACTGAAGATAATTCAGAAATGTTTGCAGCAGTATATTAACAGAGAACTTCCAGAGGTTCAAGCCGGATTCAGAAGAGGACGTGGAACAAGGGATATCATAGCTGTTGTCAGATGGATCTTGGCTCAAGGAAGGGAATACCAGAAAGATGTTTACTTGTGTTTTATTGACTATGCAAAGGCATTTGATTGTGTGGATCATGACAAATTATGGACAATATTGAGAAGAATGGGAATCCCCAAGCACTTGATTGTACTCATGAAGAATCTGTACCTTGACCAGGAGGCTGTCGTTCGAACAGAACAAGGGGACACTACATGGTTTAAAATCAAGAAGGGAGTGCGTCAGGGTTGTATTCTTTCTCCACACTTATTCAATCTATATGCTGAGCAAATAATCCGAGAAGCTGGACTATATGAAGAAAAACGTGGTATCAGGATTGGAGGAAGGATCATTAACAACCTGATATATGCAGATGATACAACTTTGCTTGCTGAAAGTGAGGATGACTTAAGGCACCTACTGATGAAGGTTGAAGAATACAGTCTGCAATATGGATTACATCTCAACATAAAGAAAACAAAAATCCTCACAACTGGACCAATGAGCAGCATCACAATAAATGGAGAGAAGATTGAGATTGTCAAGGAATTCACGTTGCTTGGTTCTACAATTGATGCCAACGGGAGCAGCAGTCAGGACATTAGATGATGTGTAGCATTGGGAAAGTCAACTGCGAAGGAACTGTTTCAAGTGCTGAGGAGCAAGGATATCTCCTTGAGGACTAAGGTGCGCCTGACACAAGCCATGATATTTCCAATCACCTCGTATGCATGTGAGAGCTGGACAATGAATAAGGAAGACCAAAGAAGAGTTGATGCTTTTGAGTTGTGGTGCTGGCGGAGAATGCTGAAAGTACCATGGACTGCTAAAAGAACTAACAGATCTGTCCTGGAGGAAGTGCAGCCAGAGTGCTCCTTGGAAGCAAGAATGGCCAGACTTCATCTCACCTATTTTGGTCATGTTGTAAGAAGGGACCATTCCCTGGAGAAGGATGTCATGCTTGGTAGGGTGGAGGGTCGACGAAAGAGGGGGAGGCCTTCAACGAGATGGATTGATATGGTGGCTGTGATGATGGGATCAAGTATAGCAGGGATTGTGGGGCTGGCGCAGGATCGGGCAGTGTTTCGTTCTGCTGTGCATGGGGTCGCTATGAGTCGGAAACGACTCGACGGCACTTAACATCAACAACAACGATATATTTCAGTGAGTTTTTCATGGAATAAAACAATGATTTCATGGAATAAAAAGATGATCTATACTCTTAGGAGATTTGGTAGCGTAGTGCCTAAGGCACTTGACTGCTAACCAGAAGGCTGGCGGTTCAAACCCAACAGCCACTCCTCAGAAGGAAGGTTGGCAATCTACTTCTGTAGAGATACTGCCTTGGAAACCCAAGGAGGGGTTGCTATGAGTCAGGACAACTTGACAACAGTGACTTTGGTTTATATTTTTTGGTTTGTGTTCTCTTAAAAATAACATATTAATGAGTTTTAAATACTGATAAAATAGTGCCAAAATGGTTATATTATGGACATCACTTAAGATTTAAGTTTTTAAAAGCCAACTATTAACTGTGATACAGATTTTCAAACACATGAAATTCCTTGGCAGCAGAGGTAAAGTCTGCATTTAAAAAGATCACTACCCTAAACTATTAACGTGAATAAATAAAAAAATACCAAGATTGAAAGACAACCCTGTTGGCACAAAGGGAGTTGTGAAGTAAGGAAAATTTCAGTTTAGAGTATCAGAAAAATGTTCATGAGATGACAGATTACATTGTCATTTTGGAGCCAGACGGGGTGAAAGCTTAGTGGAAGTGGCTGGAACCTCTTTACAGAAACTCCTTAATAATTCATGACTCAAAAATTCATGACCAGATTAATCTCTCCTGGCATGCCTGCTCATCTGAGAAAGATTTATTAGAAGAAAATTCCTTTTGAGCTGACAAGTGAGACTTGCATGAGCAGATGAGGAACCACATACGGTCATGTATTTTAGTACATTGATATGTGAATACCGGTGTGACTTGCTTTATGAAAATATGAAATCTAGGTCCATAGTTACAGAACAGACAAATGAGGGGCTGATCACATTAAAACCGCCTATATTCAAATGTCTTTACACTGAGTCTATTCCACAGTACTCAGTGAAGACCCAATTCCTTACCTTTCTTTAACCTGCTCCAAATTACTTTTCCAGTCGTGTCTCCCACTGCCCTGCTACATGAATCTTTTGCTATATGCTGATGGTTCTCAAAGGAGAGGATTTGCCCTCCTCCTGCCTCCTTGCCAAAAGTGGGGAGCATATAACTATCACTTGAGGTTTTACCAAACTTGCCTGCATTATCATTTCCCACCCTAAGATTTTGTTACGATCTTTGCCCTAATCTCTCTGAGAAATCCTGCTAGATTGAATTATTATCATTGTCATATTATATTGGACCTCACAGATGGTTGAGAAGAAAAAACAATTGCCAAACAAACCACTAGACAATTGTTATTTTTTAAAATCCATCGTCCCTAAACATCCTTCATCCATTTTGCTCCAAGTCTAGACAACTGCTCTCCTCCTATCCTGACGAGTCTTGCCAAAGTCTTGGCCTTCCTTTACTCTTGTGACCTCTGAAAGTCTTTTCTGAGTGCCATAACCCAGAGAGAATTCAAGTTTTTATAACTCTTGTGTGTGCCTTACTGTCAGCCATCATTCCATGTACATGTGTGTAACCTTCTCACTGGGACCACAAATTCTTGAGGAGAAGGCCTTTCTGTCTGAACCCATTCAACTTCCTGCCCTTCTTAAGAGGAAACTAAGAGAGAATAATAATAATAAAAATGATATTAATGATGACATGGTGACAACAGCGATGACTACTATATGGTGAGGGCCTATGGTATATCACTGGAATGGCAGTGCCATAGGCAATCTTTTGATTTGATCCTTTCAGCAAAGTTTGGAACTTAGTAGACACTCATGTTCACTAACAGAGTAAATGCCTCATATAATCCTATAGGTGTTAAGACTGTATGTCAAATTGGCTGGAACGTGATTCTCAGTGGTTGGGCAGTTAGGATGCAGTCATCCCTCATGATGTAATATAATTGTCTCCATGATGAGATCTGCTATGAGCTGCCAATCAGCTGAAAGGGAGCTTCCTTGGAGGTGTGGCCTGCCTCCAATATATATGGACATTCTAGTAAAACTCTCTGGCTTTTTGCTTGCTATCTGGACCCTGCATTTTGTCATCACCTGACCTCCGATTCTTTACACTTGAGCCAGCAGCCTGCCATATTGCCTGCCGATCTTGGGAGTCATCAGCCTCCACAGCTCGTGGGCCAGCACATTGTCATCTGACCGATGACTTTGTGTTCATTAGCCTTTGCAGCTATGAGAATCAGGAGAAGCCTCTAGCCTGATGCCTGACACACAAACTTGGGACTTGCCAGCCTCAACAACTTTGTAACACATTTCCTTGAGATAAATCTCTCTCTCTTTATATATACAAATAAAAGCTTCACTAGTTTTGCTTCTCTAAAGAACCCAGCCTAAGACAATAGGTAAAGACTGAGACCCAGAGAGGCTAAGTAATTTGTCTGAGGTCACATAGCCAATAGCAGCAGAGCTGGGAACTGAACACAGTTCTACCTGATTTCATGCATGTGCCTCTTCCCCTATTCTACATTCCCTTGCTATGGCCCTGAACATCTGAGAAGGACACAGGAAGAGAAGGTGCACCCATTTGTGGCAAATAGAGGCCAGCCCTGGATTTACTGGTCAGTAAATTAACAGTATGAACAGAGTAGAAGAACCGAGGATTAGGAAGGTCCTCCAGCCATACCCACCTCCCACATCTGTGTCTAGAATGCCCCCAAATGGAGAAACAAAATCTTTTCAAGATCTCCAGAAAACACATGGGCAGGCAGAAAGAACTCTGACAGGCAGACCTCTTTCCTAGCAATGAATGTGTGACCTTTGGGATTCCCTGAACTTCTCTGTCCTCATCCATAAAATCAGGAATGTGATTGCACAGGTTTCAAAGGTCTGTGTATTTCCTCAAAGTTCTGGGATGCATTTATAAGGTGTTGCTCAATTCTGTCCATGAAAGCTAACTAAAGGTCTCTCCTCGGTGTCCCTGTGACTCCTCTCCACTCCCCCCAACACAAACAGGATTTAAATTTCTCTCCCTTCACTGTTTCTCAGGCTCAGGGAGCTGGGCCTTCTCTCTGCATGAGGACTTGGGCACCATGTTTTTCCTCAGACTTCTCCACCTCAGCCTCTGGCCATCACCATTCCTTGTTGTCACAAATCTACATTCCGACACTTGGTCATATGTATACCACCTCATTATTCCAGATTATAAACACAAGGTAATGATTCAGTACTCAGGTTTCTTCAAATGATGGGTTTTGTATCCTATACCCACCATCTTAACCACCAGTTGCCATTGAGTTGATGTTGACTCATGGAGACCCCATACGTGTCTACTGATCCATGATGGTCCATGGGGTTTGCAAAGGCTGATTTTCTGAAAAAGATCCCTTGGCCTTTCTTCTGAGGCACTGATAGGTGGCCTTGTACTTAGCAGTCAAGTGCGTTAACCCAAACCAGGGTGTCCGTGAGTTGGAAGAAGTGAGTCGTCAGCAGCTTTTTTTTTCTTCAAAGAAAACATATTACACACTATGCCAGGTGCCTTGATGTGTGCTTAAAAGAACGTGTTCACATCTCAAAGCTGAGATGATTATACCTTTTTATCAGGTGAAGGAGTAGAAGTTCTGAGAGGTTAAATAACCAGCCCATGGTCACACAGTAACTCACTGCTGTGCTGTATATGCTGATGAAACCAGGCTTCAAAGCCCTTGTGTTTCCTGCTATACCAGCTGTCTTTCGTGTGTGGATAGCCAGGTGGCCTTCTCCATTAGGCACAACAGGCATGAGATCAAGAGCCCACAGCACTTTTAGGGGCCCACAAAAACAGCCTAACTTCTTTCACAATCAGAAGGAGAATAGGCACAGAAAAATAATGAATATGAAGTAGTGAATTTCGCCTGTATATACCAACATGGAAGGAGCTATGGTGGTGTAGTGGATAAGACATTTGGCTGCTAATCAGAAGGTCAGTGCTTCAAACCCACCAGCCACATCATGGAAGGAGATGGGGAGATCTACTTCCATAAATATTTACAGCCTCGGAAACCCAATGGAGGTCGCTATGAATTGGAATCAACGCGATGACAGTGAGTTTGGTTCTTTTTGGTTTTATGCCAACATATGTTGGTATAATTTTTCATATATATATTTTTAATGAAGGCAAAAGTACCTAGGGCCCCAGAGTCATAATGGGACCCTGCTTTATGGCCTCTTTTAACACTTTCTCTCTCAGGGCATAGACAGACCCTCTAAGGAGAGACAGAAACCACTTGCTCCAACATCTGCAACTCCATCCCACGCCACCCTTTGCTTAGTTGAGATGCAGAGTTGGCATTAGATAAACAGCCTCTGCCATTTGGAACGAAGGGTAGACCAAGGGCTTGGGGAGCCATCAGGAATATTCCACACAAAAGGGACACCCAAAGTCCTATTGAAATAAATGAACCAAGCATACAGGACATTTAAGTGGAGACAATAGAGATAGTGACCTCGCCTTGTTTTGCCTCAAATGAGTATTTACGTGGGCTGCCAAACTGAACTCCGTCATTATGCCTGGGGCATGCACTCACTATCTGAATGGAAAACTGTATAGGAATTCTAAGGAAAGAAACACAGCGCTTGGGGTAGCTGGCTTTATCTCTCCACTCCTGAGGCTGGAAGCTCATTTTCAGGCAGGTTATATCAGGCAAAGAGCGCCCACTCACCTGAAAGACGACTCCTGAGCTTCATTTTACTGCTGCCCTGTTTGGGGCTTTCCAAGTTCCCTTTGGGTTCCTCGGGGCTGCATGGATCTTGGGGTTCATCTGTTCTAGGCATCTGAAAAGCAGAGAGTGCAGAGCTGGTGAGAGATACCGTCCTGAGATTACTTACTGTTATTCCCCTCCACAAATCATCTCAAGCCTTGAGGAACAACAAACAGGTGTCATGTGAAAAAAAAAGGTTTATGGGATCAAAGGCCAGCCCTAGTGATAACTTGGAGCCACAGAGCCTCACACTGGCAAGCTCAACTCAGCACACCTCCCACCAGATAGAACCAGGGAAAGTTCAAGTGCAAAGTACCCCAGGGGCCATTTGGTGTCTCATTCTACATGTGAAGAGAGTTGTTAGCTAAGATCAAACTGGTGGTCACAAAAGTGGTCAGGGGCAAAGCCACAACTAGATCCCAGGTCTCTTGACTTGTGGTTAGAATTTTTTCCTATAATGCAAATTGCAACAAAGTTAAACCAGAACTCCAAAGGCAAATCCAATCCTCACAGTGAATTGCAAGGTTCCTAAACTATAGAGTTGGAATCAACTTGATGGCAGTGGGTTTTGTTTTTGTTTTTAAACTACAGAAAAATTTTGCTTTTGTCGAAGGCAAATAACTTCATCCTCCAGCAAGCCAGATGTTTGTCCTTTTCCTAAGCTCTTGAGTGTTGATTAAACACCGACCAGAATCAAGCACTGGCCAGGCTGCACAGAAGCACTGGCACAGAGTCAGCCACAGATCTGTAGGTTGTCTGTCTACGGTGCTCGAACCCAACAGGTGATGCAGAAAGATGCCCCTAAGGCTCATTGGGCCATTATAGAAAAGTCAGTTATGCTGGTAAAAAACCCCAACACTATCAGGGAGGAAAAGCAGACTTATGTATATGATTGTACTCATACAAGGCATTTTGGGGCAAATTTACACACACAAAATCTATGAGATACATCATGCAATGAGTTTTTCCATTTGAAAATTGTTTTCCTTTGAGGTTCCAAAGAAAAAAAGTCTTAAATTAAAATAGAAAAGATTCATGCTAAGGAACATATATGAACTTTTAGAAGACAAAAGATATCCTTTAACACCTAGCAGTCATTAGAACATCATGTCACTGTAATACCAAACAAAAAAAAACTCCTGAATTTTAACAAGTGATTAATTGTTCTGCTTACCTAGTGCCGCTCTGACAGGAATAAACCACAAATGGGAATGGCCTTAACAAATAGGAGTTTCTTCTCTTACAGTTTGGGAGCTAGAAGTCCAAGTTCAAAGTGCCAGGTTCTAAGGGCTGTGTGAAAGCCCCCTGACATTGGGGTTCCGCTCTGCCCCCCTGCTCCTGGCCCACTGGAGCTAGA